ATTATCCAATAGTGGTGTAAATATGGAGAATGTGAATATTGGGTTGGCAGCTTCTACAGACCATAAGTATTCCACGGTCACCTTGGGTTGTGATAGGGATGAGTGAATCTAGAATTAAAGCATCCTGTCATCGTATTTTAGTCCAGATACAAGTTTATTCCAATGACAAACTGGTTGGAAAGCCAGTGCATTTCGGTGGCTATAACTCTACCTCCTTCATCAGGGAGACCCAATATCAGCAGAGAATACTCTTTATGCATTAGATGAAAATTATGGTTAAGATGACAGGAAAGAGTTTGAACCTCTCTTTTTCTCACCGTCTTATTTTTCTGACGGATTTGCTCAAAACACGAGCGGACCAGCCACCATAGGACCATCGCACTACATCCCCATTATATACATAATGCATATGCATACAATCCAATTCCGAACACATGCTGCATTTGGAATTGGCTGCCTGGTGCCATACACCAGTATGTATGTGGAAGTAATCAGTTTAGTATTATTCACAAAGACAATGATTTTTTACATTGATTTTATGGCCTTTTGGATTACTGCTTTTTAATATTTTTTGTGTAATCTATCGATGTAGCACCTGAAAAGTCCTAATGCCCATTTGTTTTTGTTTTCATGTTTATAATAAGGATGTGCTGCGATTCACGTATATGATGGCTGGTTCGTTTGTGAATAATGTATTGTCTTGGCTTAGATAAGGTCACTTGTATCATGTATTAGTCTTTTATGCTCCTCTTCAGAAATCTTCTGTAACTGTATGTGTATGAATATACATGTGTCTCTAAACACAGGCTTTTTATTGCAGACTATTTGGCCTGCATGACATTGTTAATTACGGCAACTGCACGGGTAGCTTTGATGAGCTCATTCTGAACCAGAGCCATGACTGGCCAGTTTATGTGAACCCGGGAATTTTGCTGCTGCTCTACTACTCGGTCATCTCCTTGTTGAAGCTGAAGAAGCTGAAGAAGCCCAGCAGTGTAAGGGTGAGTGTTAACCATTGGACATGATCAGCTGGGGAGGGATTTTTCTTTTAATACTACAGTAGTGATGCTTCCCCTAAAAACCACCTTTTAGCTGATCCATTTCTAGAAGCGTTAAAGCTAAATCCCAGGCAAACCTCTAGACCAGCGGTTCTCAACCTGTGTAACCTCAGGACCCACATTTGTCCTTGGTAACTAAGTCACGACCCAAGTCGCACCGCACTGGAATGCACGGCATTGCAGTACCAGGCGTTCGGGTGTAGGCGATCGGACTGTGGGTGGGAGGGGCGTTTGGGGTGTCATTCAAATTAATGGCAACGCACCTTCCACATAGAATGCGCAGTAGGTGCGATTGCATGGTACAGTGCATTAATCGCATGGGAATGTGTACTAGTGTGAACGGACCCTCAAAAACACTGATGGACGCACACAACCCCACACACCGACGCGCGCGCACACACACACACACCCAAAAAAAATTATAATTAATTTTTTTTCTTTTTTTTAAGATCCACCCAGTCTCCCTACCTTATGGGAACTGGAGTGGAGCCTCAACCTGGGGTCCAGTTTGGACTTCTGTGCATTGTTTGGACAGCTCCCTTGCACACACCCTCTAGAGGTGCCGGGAGCCAGAATGTCATGTCACTCCAGTCCAGGCACCCCTACAGGGCACACGGGGGAGCTGTAAGCAATGCACGTATGGATGGAGCTCCCTTGGGGCCAAACTTCCAGCCCACCCCACCTCAAGCTGACACGCAGCGCCGGGCAGCATATTTTGAATGTTTCTCTCTATAGGTCTCTATAGGTTGAACTCGATGGGCTTGTGTCTCTTTTCTGACTGACTATGTAACTATGATTGGTTGCTCGACGTGAGAACGGACGGTGCTGCGCCGGGAGGAGGCTAAGGAGTCTCGTACCTAGAAAAGTGGAAGGCATGTGACGACCCACTGAACATGGGGGTCGCGACCCACTTTTGGGTCACGACCCACCAGTTGAGAACCAAGGCTCTAGATACACAGATAAAATACAAATAAAAGAGCTACTCTATGTGCAGAAGGATTTGCCTTTCTGTCCAATAAATCCTGCAGTTTACACTGTCCTGCCAGACAGCACAACCAGGAGGATGGTATCACTTTTACTGTCGCAGTAAAGGAATACAGTGATGTCTTCAACCCACCTTAGCTTGCTAATTGGACAGTGGGGGGGACAACAACAAACTGATAAGTTCATGTCTCTCTCTGATGCTAAAACCAAATTCATGTATTTACAGTGGGTAAATGTAAAATATAATTTTAATTTGCAAAATGGTTTTGCTGCGGCGCGTCTGTTTACTGTTCATGAGAGGGATTTTTTAATTGTCATTGCAGTTATAACAAAAACCCATATTGTCAAAATTACATACAATGCCATGCCTCGGGTGTGCTCATTTTACTATTGTGGCCTGCACAGGGCATAGCCGTGTTTTTTCATCTAATGTTCTGATTCTTAATCCTTGCTGGTATTCTATAGACTGTTTCTCAGAAGCAGGAAAATGTCCAGGTTGAAGCTTGTGACACTAAAGCGCCTTTGAAGGAGGACCTGGAAATGGCAAAGGTGGAATCATGGCCAAAAGAAAGGAACCGCTTTGGGGAGGAGACTAAGGTGAGTTTCAGTTTTTGCTGTAAACCCAAATACTTTATATTAAGAGGTTTTTCTTTTCCATGTTGATGTCCTCTCCACCCTCTTTATTCTACAGCCCATGTTGCCAAGTGACAGTGAAGCATGGGGAGAAGATCAGCAGGATTTTACCGTTCATGTTATCCAGCCACCTTTTACTACATACCCTGGTATAATGCTTTCAATAAATACATAGGGATATATAAAACTTGTGATTACCTGTAGTGTGTGAATGATCAAGTGCCTTTTTGAATAAGCTCTACATTACAATAAAATGGGATTACAATTGAGACAAATACAGATTGTTTGTTGGTGGCAACAAGCTATCTATTTGGCAGATTCACACCATTTTCCGGAGCAGATCTGGTCCAGAAAATGGTGTGAACCTGCCCGCAGTTCCAGTGCTTTCCAGACCAGACAAAATGAGACAAGCAGTATTTGTCTGGTCTGGTCCGGAACGGACTGCGCTGGTGTGAACAGAGGCCAGAAATAGCATAGGGAAAGATTAGGATGCATTTTGGTTCCGGAAACAATCTGGTGTGGAGATGATCTGGATTTGGTGTGAATAGGCCGGCCTTGCACACGTGGGATAACGTTTTCATTAGGATCGGAAGGCACAACAAATTTGTCAAAGTTCTAACTTTTTCCCGCATTACTACAAATGTGTACATGTTCTTGTCTGTGTTGCTGTTAGGCCCCGTTCACACTGAGCAGTGTATCGTGCGATTTCCGCTGCAAAATCGATTTATGTAGCTTGTCCAATGCATTCCAATGGAGCTTTTCACATCTCAAAGCTCAATGTCGCCTGTAGCTCGTCGTTTGTACATGACCCTTTTTTCGACGGATGTCGCGATTCGGCCCCAATAGACTCAATGGTGTCGCGCGAAATCGCGCACTACCGGCGATATTGCGTAACTTGGTCGCGCGATAGAAGGGTTACTTTTGCACTGCAAAATGTAAGGAAAGAATGATGTCACTTCAAGATCGCTGTTGATTGATTACAGCCCAATGTAGCAGTGACGAAGTCTTGCCCAAAAAAACGCGCTATATAGCACGATAAAATGTGCACTGTCGCTCAATATCGCGCAATGTAGCTCAAAGCCGTTCAGCACGAAATTTTGTGGAAAAACGCGCAATACCCATGTCGCTCAGTGTGAATGGGGCCTTAGAGAGATTTCCCATTGTTTCCAGTTTTTACTGTAAGAGAGGAGAAATCTCCCCAATAGGGGCACAGATGGCAATACAACCTTAGGATCTCTTACCCGCTCTGTCCAAAACTAAATAAGAAGGATTGTGCTTAGTTCAAATTGTTGACTGTTGTCAATCACTCCCTAAACATGGGGCTGAATACAGTGTAATGAGCAGAATGACTCAGTCACACAAATGCCTAACTTCAGGTTCTGCTAAGCAGAGCATTCTGGGAATTGTCTACAGCTGCTGAACAGCCATTGGTTGTCGGCTAGTTTCTGTACAAGAATGTCCCAAAGGGGTCCTCTTTTGTGGCATTTCACAAATGATGTCCAGCATGAGGCTTAACTCGCTCAGCAAGTCTGTTGTGTTCCAAGAGGAGGATCTGGAATAGTAGTTCAAAGAGAAATATTAACTACTAATTGAAACCTTGTTTACTTGCCTTTTATCAGTCACCACAGTGGGGCTATTCTTTTACATTTGGCATCCAGACTCCCAGTGTGCACCTGTGTCCTATAAATAACTCGTAGGGCCACCTCAACGTGGATTCCCGAGAGGACAGAGAAGTTTTTTTTTATCATTTAAAGGGGGTGGAGGAGAGGATGCTAAACATCAAAAACAAATGTCTTCTTACTGTAAAACTGTTGAAAAGAGAAATGGGCAATATATACCACTTCCTTTATGTTCTACATCATCAGTCATTTTTTATAGGGTGATGATGGCATGATACTTTTTCTCACGATGTTCTGTACTGTGTTCTGTATACCGGAACCAAGTGCATATGGTACATGTTGAGTGATGCTTGTCTGGTATAAAAGGAAACTTGTGCCTGTTCACACGACGTCCGTTTTGTGTGCTGACCTGATCCGTACGCTCCTGCACGCAAAATGCATCCCAATGTATCCCTATGTGTTTAATGGGCTACAGTTCTCACGTGCGCAGTCCGTTCAGGTTACGCCAGAAAAATACTGCATGTCACATTTTGCACGGTCAGGAAACGCAAACGCGTCAAAAACGCACTGCAGCTAACATACTAACAGTTCCACTCCAGTTTTTTTACTGGAACGCATGAAAAACGCACTGCATCCGTAGCACCGGGTCTGCAGATCGGGACCTGAAACTCATGTGAACAGGCCCTTACTCATCTCATTTTTTTGTGAAAGTGATCAGAAACCTGTACGGAGAGAAATACAGGGACTGTTACTGATGACCTCCTGAAACGTCCAGTAGCCTTTTAGTCCTGTTGGTCCAATGGCTAACCATGAACAAGCATGCAGATCAGAAAAGTTAGAAATTCTCATCTACATCCGTGTTCCTGGGTCAGTGACTCAAATATGGAGGCAAGAGGGTAATTTTAGAAGGAAAGTTCTAAGATGGCTGCCCTCAGGTTTCTGTAAAGCACAATCCCTAAGGAAGCAGAACCTGCATATGTATTGCACAGCTTTCTTCCATCTACATATACTGTATATAAATATAAACTGCACTGAATAACAATTTTAAGACATTGGCATACATTGTTAAGGCTATTTATTGTGATACATATGTTAGCCATATGCTGATCTGCAGCTGCTGCACGTATCTGGCACTTCCAAGTGTGTTGAATACCTGCTTGCTTGCCGCACCCTGTACTTCATCCCACTGACTCCTACATCCTGTAGTAACATTATGTGGAAGTGTCGCGTTGAATACCTGCAGCAGCTAGCTAATGGTATGCAATGGAGTTTTAATACACAGGCTGCTGTTCCTTTTTTACAAGCTTGGCTTAGTTGAATTTGCTCCCACACTGACAGGGTAACTTTATTGATACTGATGGTAAGTAAGGAAGGGCATGAAAGTTGAACCTGTTGCTTTTCCTATACAGATCAAAGTATTGGGTTTACTTTAAAGAAGAACTCAGGGCAATAAAAATCTTACCCTTGCAGTGGTGCTACCCCCCACACTGCAAGAGTTAGGTGCTCACTTTGGTCCAGGGGCTGGAATAAAGCAGAATTACTTACCTGATCCTGGATCCCTCCAGACTGCTAGACCGGTCGCCTCAGCCTCTTCTCCCCTTCGCTCCAGTGGTCTAAGGACCGTTGACATCATCACTTCTTGTGCAGGTCCATTGACCTGGTGTTGAGGGACATTCCATAGCCAGAGTGGAGGGAGAGAGGTGAGCACTGACCACTGCAGGTGATGGGATCAGGTATGTGAAACTATTTTATTTGAGCCCCCTAGACAAAACGAGCATTTAACCTCTGCAGCGCAGGGGTAGCCTCACTGCAAAAGTATGTTGTTTTTTATTTGCACGGAGCTCTTCTTTCATGCCCTTTCCCCAAAGGCACCTTCATCGCCCCCTTGCTGCTCCGTTTAGGTGCTGGCAGTGATAAGAGAAAGACCTGTAGAAGCCTAATGCAGTTTGGAGCCAGCACAGGGCTAAGGATCCCCATGTAACAGAGCTTGGCTAAGGACCAGTGCTGTCATGCAGGAGGAAGGGATGGGTAAACTCTCCCCCATACGCAGAACTATGGGTATATTTTGTCGCTGCCAGCGGATTAACAGATTAGTGGGGTAGCAGGGAAAAAGTGAGTTTGGGCTGCTTGGGACAAGGGGGGGCATTAAAGCTAACATGCTCTTAGCACAGGTTAGCTTTAAAGGCATACAGAAGTGCAATGCAGTGAAGGCCTTTTGCTGTATCCATGCAGTGAAACTAAAAAGTATAATGTTTGACCCACCTCTCTCTTTTTTTTTTTTTTTTATTTCAAGTTTGCAATGTTTGCGGACGTACCCACAAGAACACGCAGGTCCGGGTACGAACAGGACATACAAAACATTCAGTATATAAGAAAGGTAAAGAGCGGCACATATATATAAGGAACAACCTTCCATATCCCATTAATCCCATCCGGGTACATTGTGGTGTGAATGATTCGTGAGGAGCTCCAACAGGCGGGTAGTGAAGGTTCTCCATTGAGGCAAGTCCAGGTGATCCCTCAGTTGGAACCCCGACCGGCTGTACAGCAGTCGGGATAGCCTGGGGCACGCGCGCTCAACTATATTGCTACCTTGCCTGTTGTTATTCCCAGATGGTCCTCTAGGTACAGGTGTGGCATAGGCCTGTATCAATTTATCCAGGGGGAGGGTGTGGCCCCTGTCGACCCATCGCTGGCAGCCGCCCGGCGACGTCGGTCGACCTTCATGGGTCCCACCCATCCGGAATTGGTAACTTGCCCTATCAGGGGTAGGATTATTACCAGCTATCGATAGGGATAACGCCAAGGTTGGCCTTAGGAAGGTAAGGGTAGGGGGTAACAGTACTGACAAGGTGGGGGGGGGGAGGCCAAAGGAAGGAATGCAACCTGCCACCAATGGTTTTACCATGTGCTGGTGGCAGGTTGCCTTGATCTGGTCAGTGGTTTTTGTGACTGAATGCTGATTGAAAGTGGTTGAAATTGGCTGAAAATTGCAGTGCATGTGGCTAGAATGAAGGTGCCTGCAAGACATAAGAGGATGTTGTCTTCATCTTGCCATTTGTAATTGGAGTGGGAAATGCTTGTATGTCTGCTGGCTTCCCCCTCCTGTCTTTTTAAAAAAAAAAAAATTCTTTATTTCAAGTTTCCAAAGTTTAGGGGTGTACCTATATGGACACGCAGGTCCGGGTACGAACAGGACATATAAAACATTCAGTATATGACAAAGGTAAAGAGCGGCACATATATATAAGAAACAACCTTCCATATCCCATTAATCCCATCCGGGTAGATTGTGGCGTGAATGAGTTGTGAGGAGTTCCAATAGGCGGGTAGTGAAGTCCCTCCATTGAGGCAAGTCCAGGTGATCCCTCAATTGGAACCCTGACCGGCTATACAGCGGCCGGGATACCCTGGGGCATCCGCGCTCAACTATATTGCTACCTTGCCTGTGGTCGATTCCAGATGGTCCTCTAGGTACATGTGTGGTATAGGCCTGTATCAATTATCCAGGGGGAAGGTGTGACCCCCGTCGACCCAACGCTGGCGGCCGCCCGGCGACGTCAGTCGACCTTCAGGGGTCCCACCCACCCGGAATTGGTAGCTTGCCCCAACAGGGGTAGGATTATTACCAGCTATCGATAGGGATAACGTCAAGGTTGGCCTAAGGAAGGTAAGGGTAGGGGGTAACAGTACTGACAAGGTGGGAGGGGAGCACACGACCGGGGGATAGGGGTAGGAAGGGGAAGATCTCAGTGTGTCATCGCTGGATTTCAGGACTCCATAATCTCTCGATATTCTGCAGAGGTGGTATAAACTATCCAATAGTGCCAGGTGGTCGAGAATCTGGAAGAGGTGCCCTTGATGGTGCGGGTGAGGTCCTCCATGAGCCTGATGTCGTTAACTTTGGCGAACCAGAGTTGGACCGAGGGGGGAGTCTCCTGTTTCCAAAGTAATGGTATGCATGCTCGGGCAGCATTCAGTAAGTGGATCAAAACCGATCGGGAGTAACTCTTAGGCGGGAAGTGGTTGTGGTGGAGGAGGAAGAATGCCGCTTCATGGGGGACGTCGTGGTCTGTGAATTTTTTGGTTATCGCTCGGACCCGGGACCAGAACGGGGTCACTCTGGGGCAGGACCAGAAGATGTGGAGCATGTCCGCCGGAGAAGAGCCACAGCGCCAGCACGTGTCAGGTACATCTTGGTACATCTTGTGGAGCTTATGAGGGGTTCTATACCATTGCGTGAGGATTTTGAATCCCAATTCTTGGTATTTGTTGCAGATGGATGACTTCAGGGAGTATCGTAACAAACGGACTCTGTCCTCCTGTGGGAGCTGGATCCCCAACTCCCTTTCCCATTGGTCAATGAAATATAGTGGTGGTTCTAGGTCCTTGGTGAGGGCGACCTGGTAACACAGGGAGAGCGTTTTAGCTATCGGTCCAGAGTCTATGCATGTTTGTTCGAAGGTTGAGAGGTTCCGTGCGTAGGTAGATGGGACTGGGAGGGAGGACAGGTAGTGCGTCAGTTGTAAACATCTCCAGGATCCTAAGTTTCTCAGGTCAGGGTCGGTCGAGGAGGGGCCTAGTGCCTGCCAGTTTTGTCCATCCAAAAAATGTAGCGCCCTGAATTTGTCCCCTGTCAGGAGGCGGCGAAACATTCCATCCTCTAGACCAGGGGAGAACCCGGGGTCGCCTATGATCGGGTGCATGGGTGAGGGTGAGACTGAAATTTGTAGCCTATCGAAAGCCCGTTGGGTCACTTGCCAGGTGGCTCCCATCGTCGGGTGAGTTCTGGTTGTTCTGGGAATAGGCCCTTTACACCATGGCAGGGCTGGTAATGGAATTTGGGTCATCGACTGTTCTAATTTGATCCATGGCTTGGTGTCACCATGACGGCACCAGTCTATCACTCGGGAGAGGTGAGACGCCACGTAGTAGATGTGAAAGTCAGGTAAAGCTAATCCACCCGATGCTTTAGGGCATCGTAGGATCGGTAGTCGGATTCTAGGGACTTTGCCGGCCCAAATAAAATTGGACACCATCGCCTGTAAGGACCGGAAATAGGCCCGTGGGATCCGTATTGGGAGGGCTTGGAAGGGATATAGGAAGCGTGGGAGGATGTTTTGTTTAATGATGTTGCAACGCCCGGTCCAGGAGAACGTAGAACGAGACCACCCTTGTAGGTCTGCCCTGACCTTTTGTAATAGTGGGGGAAAATTAAGACTGTAGGTGTCCGTGAGGTGTCGAGGCAGGTGGACCCCTAGATATTTGATTGATGTGGAAGACCACTGATATGGAAGGTTCCATGTGAGTCGTGCTAACATGGGGGGGGGGGAACCGTTAGATTGAGAGCCGTCGATTTCTGATGTTGATGTGATAGTTAGATAACTCACCGTAGCTCCGTAGTACTGCGAGTAAGTTGGGCATCGTGGTAACCGGCTCAGTTATGAAAAACAATAGGTCATCGGCAAACGCCTCTACCTTGTGGGTGGTCCCCCCCACCGTCAATCCCCTGATGTCAGGGTGAGCTCTAATGGTTCGTAGCAGGGGCTCCGGAGTCAGGATAAAAATGAAGGGCGAGAGGGGACACCCCTGCCTGGTTCGATTGGATATCGGGAAGGAGGCGGACAACATTCCGTTGACACAGACCCTAGCAGTTGGCTGGGAATATAAGGCCAAAATCCACGCGAGCATACCCGGACCCACCCCCACGTGCTCCAACGTGAGTCGAAGGAAAGACCAGTCGACCCTGTCGAAGGCCTTTTCTGCGTCCATGGATACTATCAAACTTGGGATGGATTTCGACAGGGCTGAGTATCAAGTTGAGGGCTCGGGTGGTGTTGTCCCGGGCCTCCCTGGAAGGGACGAACCCCGCATGGTCAGGGTGGATCAATTGGGGAATGTGCGGGAGCAGCCGCATGGACAAGACCTTGGCCAATAGTTTAGTATCTACGTTTAGTAAGGATATCGGGCGGTAGCTCGGGCAGACCGCGGGATCCTTGTCTGGCTTGGGAATTACTACTATGTTGGCCGACAAAGCATCTCCAGGCATGGGCGCTCCCTCTCTCACCGCGTTCCAGGCCTCTAGCATGGGGGTGTGTAATATTTCTGGAAAGGTTTTATAATATAAAAGGGTGAACCCGTCAGGGCCCGGGGCCTTACCTGTGTTAGTTTGTTTTATGGCTGCGTCAAGTTCCATGGACGATATCGGAGATTCCAGGGGTTCACGTATCTCAGGGGATAAGGTGGGCATGGTGGAAGCTTCCAGGTAGGACCGAATGCGACGTTGTCGCCTCGTCAAGGCCTGGGGATCCCGCGGACCGGGGAGATTATAGAGATTATGGTAGTAATCCCGGAAGGCTGAGACTATGTCTTCCGATAGGTGGCATATACTGCCCGAGGCTGATTTAATGACTGGGATGTATGTGCGGGAGCGTTGTTGCCTAAGGGCTTGTGCCAGGGAGCGACTGCACTGGTTGCCATACTCGTAGAAATGTCGGCGGCATTTGGCTAGTGTAGCTTTCGCGTTGTCCATGTATAGGGAGCGTAGGGAATCCTGTAGTGTGCGGAATTGGGCCAGAAGGGAGGGGTCCTGTCGTTGTTTGTGCTTGATTTCCAACGCGTGGATTTGTGTGAGGAGAGAGTGCTGCTGTCCCAACCGTTGTTTTTTGCGGCGACAGGGGTAGGGTGACAATGGGGGGGGAACACACAGACGAAGACAGGCGGGAAGGGGGGACACTGAGAGGGATCTAGCGAGTGGGGAGGACTAAACAAGACGGGAACCCTTAGGGTTAAGAAAACTAACTGTTGAACCGAGGTTCAGAGTCCTTGTGGCACAGTGGGCGCAGCAGGGACTAACTAGTGGGGAAACGAGTCTGATCAGGGCGGGTCAGAGCTCCGTGAGGCAGCAGGTAAAAGATAGTTGTGAGATTTAAGTTGGGCGTTATGTAGGATCTATCTGTCCCAGCTGTAGAGGGGACGTCCGGGCACGAGGGCAGGGCGAGGGCCCCGGACTTATCGATTGAGGGGGCTGGTGGGATAGGAATGTGGCCCCGGGGGTCCTCTGGGGTACCAGGCCTGCTACTGGGAGGAGAATCCTGATTCCTGGGATAGCGAGGCTAATGGGGCAATCATTGAAACCTGGGGCCCTATTGCTGCTATAAACAGGTAGTTACTAACCCACCTCTCTCTAACCTTACCAGCAAAGCTCTGTGTTGATTTAAATAAAACTCTTCCTGTAGTTATTTTTCTTGGTCAGTTTTTAATGGCATTTTCCACTTTCCGCCTTTCTGCTAAGTTTCCTGACTGCCAAAGCCGAGCTGTAAACAGTTTTCATGCACCAGTTCATAGTACTGGCTGCAAATCGTGTTTTGTGCATAATTCATGACCATTTGTATGAACGTTTTATGCCATAGTTGCACATAAATCTCTAACCTTTACGTGTTAGTAAAAACAGATTTCACCTTCATTTTCTCACTGTTCAAAACTGATAAACTGAATGGGGAACTGCCCAGCATTGATATGTGCACCGTTAAATCAAAACTAAACTCAAGTACAAAAGTGTAATATCGCAGCTTACCAGTCCTTACATGTGGTGGCTGCATTAGGTTTGTCTTTTTAAGGGACCGTTCACACCAGATGTAGTGCGTTCTGGCCCGATTCTGGCCAGAACTCACTGCCTCGCATTGCGGCCGGCTCACTTTTTGTGTGGGGCAGGAGGGGGCGTGGCAGGCCATTGAAGAGAATGGCACCGTAGCCACGCCCTCCGGCTTGCAGCATTTTGATCGGACCGGACCGCAGGCATAATGTACCTTGCGATCCCGTGCGGCCGGAGGGCGTGGCTACGGTGCCATTCACTTCAGTGGCCCGCCATGCCCCCTCCTGCCCCACAAAAAATTGAGCCGGCCACAATGCGAGGCAGTGCGTTCTGGACAGAATCGGGCCGGAACGCACTGCATCTGGTGTGAACGGGCCCTAAGGCCAATAACCTTTTTTAGGAAGTACAGAAAATGTCTGTTGATACTGCCAGACATGCTGTGCCCTTGTCACTTCCTGTGAGCTGAACTTGTAGCAATGTTTTCAGTTTTTCTACTTACCCCAGTACCCACATGAACATAGGCAGACATGTTTTAAGTCCACAGTCACATGAAATCTTCAGCGCCATTAGCAACCGGAGAAATCACTTGGCCCATGATATTATCACCAACCACTTCACCAGGGATGGCAGCCCTCCACAGGGAGTGCTGGACCTCCTCCACAGACCATATCAACAAAATGTTTGAAGTCCATCCTGAGTGTGTACAATGTCCTTTTCCATAGATACAATGGAGGAGTGAACGTAGTCACCCAGGAACAGGAAGTGTGTTATTCAGGATTACCAGTAATGATGTGCGGGAGGCTTGGTACAAACCAAGTTCGCCCAAGCCCATGCAAAACTTTCACTAACATGTTCCCCTCCTGAGCCACCAATTGCAGCAGGGGCATTACTTGCTCCTTTGTGATTATATAGCTGCTGGTTTAGTGCTCAGGGGGACAAGTTAATTCTGCAGGAAAATAACACTTTTAAACAGCAATGACCAGCATCCATCGTATGTGACTTTAATATTGACTTAACTATCACTTTATTCAGTAAAGTGAAGTGAGCCAGGGAGGGAGAAGCTTGAGGCTTCAGCCCTGTCCTCCGTTCCTAGTAACTAAAGGAAAAATGCATTAGTTGCTTCAACCAAGAGACACTGCTGATGATCCCATTTGATAATGTTTTCTTCTGACAGGTAATAAACTCAAGGCCCTGAGAGACCTATCACCAGTTCTGCTGGTTAACGTTATTCTCAGCCAGAGCTACATTTGTGCACTTATCGCCATGATGGTAAGTAATTCATAACTTGAAAATTATTTTTTTGTAAAAACATTTAGTAAATTCAGTTACAAGTTTTTTTTTTATTATTGTGCATATCTTACTTGTGTGACCATGAGAGGTAATCGGAGTGGATATAATAAAGGGATTTATGAGTATCAGTAAACATAACTGTGAATAGCTGCGTGGATACGGTCTGACCTGCACATTGTACAGCACGGGCAAGTCTTGCTTCATAAACTCTACACATGGGTCTGGTAATGTTTACGGCCTACAGGACGGCTTATGTCTTGTCACTCAAATACTTCAGTCGTTTATGCTTTAAGACAGGTTTTTGATGCTTCTTTACAAAGTTAGGGTGATTAAAGAAGAACTCCGGGAAAATCTTTTATTAAACCTTGCAGTGGGCTACACCTGCACTGCAAGTTTTCAGTGCTCGTTTTTGTCTGGATGCAAAAATAAAAAAAGTTGTACTCGCCCAATCTTTGTAAACGGCTGGCTGTTAAACTGGTCCTTCCAGCCTCTCTCCCCCCTCTGCTGCTGCAGGTCCTGTGAGTCATCACATCCAATACACTGTGTATAGGAGGATGCAGAGGGACATACCATTGCTTAGTTATTTTTCACTTAGACAAAAATGAGCACTTAACCCTTGCAGTGCAGGGGTAGCCCCACTGCAAGGGTTAAGACATGTTTGTCCCATGTTTTCCTTCTTGAAATCATTCACCCATCCTATTTCAAACACTGGTGTCACAGTTCTATGACTGATTCTCAATTATGTAGACATAGGCAACTGTGGAATCCAGATTTTTGAATGAACACACAACTATATTCTGTAGCAATGGTTTTAGTTTAGCGTTAAAAAGGAAATATAGTGCCTGGCCAACAAAAAAAGTCACCACCTGGATTTAGCTAAGCAAATAGGTCAGAGCCTTCCATTGGATAATTACTGCAGTGATTAATATGTTTCATCTGGCAACTGAGGTCATCTGCCTACCTGAATATACTGAATGACCAGGTTTTTCCATCAATGGAATTTTTCTTCCCTGATGGCACATTGGGCATATTTCAAGATGACAATTCCAGGATTCATCGGGCTTAGATTGTGAAAGAGTGCTTCACGGAGCATGAGACATCATTTTCACACATGGATTGGCCGCCACGGAGTCCAGACCTTAACCCCATTGAGAATCCTTGGACTTTACACAGTGGTCCGACTCTCCCATCATCACTACAAGATCTTGGTGAAAAATGAATGCAACTCTGTTGGAAATAAATGTTGTAACATTGTATAAGCTTATCGAAACAATGTCACGGCGAATGCATGCCATAAATCAAAGCTTAAGGCCATCCAACGGAATATTAGAGTGTGCGACTTCTTTTTTTTTTGGCTAGGTGGTGTATACTGAATTTTTTGTGAGTTCTATTTGAATTTGATATTGCAGTATTTAACTTGAAAGTAATTTTTAATGTACGGTTCACAATTGTTCATGATGGCTCTCCCAATAAATAATAAATATAGAAATATGTAGAGTGGCCCCAGAGCAGCCTTTCTCAACCTTTTTACAGTCACAACCCCCTTTGCAAAAGCTCGACTCACCGCAGTCTAACACATAAAAAACATAAATGTTGAAAAATGATGGGTGACTAATCCAAAATCCATACCAGACTCTAATCCGAGTTAGGGTTCAGGAAGGGATTTTAAGGGGGGACCCCATGCAACAAAATAGGTAGAGATCTCCCCTTCAAATTATGAGCCCCTTTCACATCAGGGTCCTCTTTTACATTAGAAGCTTCCTTCTTTAACATCAAAGTCCCCCCTTCCCATACTGGGAGCCCTCATCACATCAGAAGCCCCACTTTACATCAGAGCTCCCTCCTTTCACATCAGATTCCAACTTCATATTACAAGCCCTCCTTCAGATCAGGAAACCTCTTCATGTCAAAAACCCGCACTTCAAATCAGGATCCCCCCCCCCCCCCCTTTTTATTTAGCCAAAGTTTTATCACAAGTTCTTAGAACAAAGAAACCAGAATGAAGCAGTAAATGCAGTGTAAACAGAGTCACTGAATTGATTATACATACAGTCTAAGTATCATGTGTACGATATAGAGGACCTGAACATGGTCGTATGCTGGTGCCAATTTTAACAATAATGCACTTTTTGAGGTATAATATACTGCAAGGAGACATGGGAAAAGAAACATATCAAGAAATCTATAGAAAAGAAGTTAACCCTGAGTAGGAAAAGGATCTAAAGGTAAAGGGAAAAGCATCAGACCAAGGAGAAAGAAACCTAGTACAATGCAAAAAGAGAGAGAGAAGCAGAGAGAAAGAGAGAGGACAAGGAATAGACTAAGAAAATGAAAACAGAAAAACGTAGCCACTTACAGTTAAAGCGATAAAACCGGCCGCTCACACGATGTGAGTAAAGCTTCTGCACTTCCTGATTGTGCGCGGTACCGTGAAGTATAGCCCCGCCCCGACGCGTTTCGTCATCCAAGGACGTCTTCAGGGGGATCGCAGGTCTCTGAAGTTATTAGAGAAGCACAAAATCACCCAACCAGGCCAGATTTTTCCATGAAGTTCCCTCTGATGTTTGCCTTTTGCTCCATGTTCATTATCTCGTTCATAACTTCTGCCCGTGTTGCCAAGGAGGGAGCCTCTGTAGATTTCCAGCACCTGGGTATAGATACTCGTGCAGCAATTAGACAAAATGTAGCATGTCTTTTTTTTTTTTTTTTATGCTTTTGTAAAAACCCTGGAGAAGGGACAAAAGAGCAATTTCAGGGGTAAACTGGAGTGATGTGCATTGTGCAGCAGAATAGATCTCCTCGACTTTCAATCAGAAGGGTCGTATGGTATTACAACTCCACCAAGTGTGAAGGTATGTACCCATTACCTTCTATGGGGAAGATACGGTGAAGCGTATCTGGTCACCTATACCACCTTAAAAGAATTTTGCCTCTATTTCCACTCACCTTCAAGAGTCCTCTCCCATGACCCAGATCCCTCTCCCAAGCAAGCATAAAGGACGAGCAAATATCACTTCATGACTTTGCAAGGGAGTTTTCGCTTAGCTTAGATCTGCTGACTGAAATCATTCAACCATGTTAAGGCAAAAACGTTTACATTTTCCTTGCACATGATTGGACATTGTTTGCAAAATAAATTTTCACCAAATTAACAAAGCATAGCATGGAAAACGGGCAGGAAAACGGGCCTGTATATGTAATGAGCAAATATGGCTCATTACATATATAGGCAAGAACTATACACAGAAACAATGCTGTTAAAACATTAATTGGATTAAGTTGATCTTGCATGTATACTGTATCTAGAAAAACACTGAAAAAAACTTTACAGTCCCCAAGACTTTTGCAGACAGTGACACCCCTAGAACTAGTCCTTCAGTCTTTACAGCGCCCAGTCCCATATGCTCAGATAGTGCACATTTACATATCCGTGTATCTGTGGCCAAAAAAGTGAATGTACAGACAAAATTTTGTTTCAGATTTAGATTGGGAAAGGATTAATTAGAGCCCATGTTGGTTTTAACTGCTATTTGGGGCTCCGTTAGAGATTTTCCCACACTTACTGTCCCAGTGACTGGTTTTTCCAGTTTGGAAATTAGGGAAAATCTCCAACAGCAATGCGGACATAAAGTTTCTTTTTTTTATGATTTCAGAAGGGAAAGTTTTTTGCTTTTGTGTATCTCCTTTGAAGATTTTCCCTCCCTTCCTGTCTGTTGAGCACATTGTTACCGTCCCAGTAATTGAGAGAAAATCTCTCTAACAGAGCCTCAGAAACCAGTAAAAACATGACGGAGGTCCTAATCCTTCCCCACTCTATTCCAAACTTAAAAAGAAAAAAAGTTTGGGCTGGACTTCTACTTTAAGTCTTTTATTATGCCAAAAGAAATGAAGGAAGGAAATAGTCTAATTAGATTTTCCTTTATAAATCTGTGGGGAAGTGCTACATGACGACAGCATCTCCACAGCATTTCACTTCTAGGTATTTGTCAGATAATGATTGCAAATTTCCCAGACAAAGTCCAAATGGCACTGCAAGTACAGAAGAACACTTCACATGGGCTTTGTCATGGAAATTATACTGTAATATTTGGGAGGGAAAGGCCATTTACTTACACTGATGTTTTTGGCAGCTTTGGTACAGAGCTTGCCTTTTGTTGACACCTGTCTGTTGGAAACAGTGGGCTCCAAGGCAAAATATATTATACTTCGAAATAAATCCCAGCCATTCTCTTTTTCTTTCCTCCTTTTTATCTCCCTGCTTTTGTGCTTTCTCTCTCTTCTTCTCCTTTTCTCTTGCTCTCTCTTGCCCTCTACTTTCCTCCCTCTCGCTCTCTCCTTCCCTCGCTCTCTCCTTCCCTCGCTCTCTCCTTCCCTCGCTCTCTCCTTCCCTCGCTTTCTCCTTCCCTCCTTCTCTCCTTCCCTCCCTCTCTCCTTCCCTCCCTCTCTCCTTCCCTCCCTCTCTCCTTTCCTCCCTCCCTCTCTCCTTTCCTCCCTCCCTTTCTCCTTTCCTCCCTCCCTCTCTCCTTTCCTTCCCTCCCTCTCTCCTTTCCTTCCCTCCCTCATCAATGTTAGGGCAGAACGGGGGAGGGGCAAGACTGGTAGAAGACAACAGAAGGGTAACAGTGCCGTGTCAGATTCCTCGCATCACCTTTCATCATCTCGTGGAGTCACGAGGCGGCCCAACGCAGTACTGATGGGGGGGTCATAATAATCTGGCTACTTATATATATATACACACACACACACGTATGTAGAGTAAACTAGTGGAGTATGTTAAAATGAAAGCTTCCTCCTCTGCAGTGCATGAGTAGGCACAGATTGATTTTATGAGCATGAGAAAATGTAAACCAAATTCCAGGTCACCAGATCATAGCCTGAAGAGGTTCTGGACCAATGCCCAGGATCGCATTATCCACTATCTTTATCAGAACACCATCTGATGGAACCACACTGTTACTTTTTTTCTATCAAGCTATAGG